GTGTGATAACGATTTATAGCTCTCGATAGCACTCAATACTCACGACACTAACAATAATTGGAATATTAAATTCGCCTCTGGCAAAACCTAGTAAACTTGTTAATCAATCATAATCCGTGTTCAAAATTAAAATCCGTCAAATTTCTCCAGTTTTGTCTAAGCTTATATTGGTCTAAAAACTGCTTATTTTAAATTTAAAAAAGTTGATCATAATTTAAAATCTCCGTCAATGTAAGTTAATTAACGGCGAATATAAATAACGACCTACCTACTTGGCCTACTGTTATAATTCAGGACATTTCTATTTTCTAGGAAATATTTACCGGAAACGATTACAGATTAAACACATATTAATCATATTAATCTTCGTTCACTTTGCACACACTTACTACTATAAGTCATTTTAATGTCATCATGTTAAATTGCCTAAATTTATTTCCTTAAAACATGACCGACTGAAGCCCCCTTAATTTAGGTACGCTGCACATAGGTACAGGCATATAATAATATTGTGTTGTAGGCGATTATGATATTTTTATATTTTATTTATTAGATAAATGCCTAACCACCGATATTTTTCTAAAAATGAAGTAAATAGGTGTATGTTATTATAGTTTTATATATTATGACAAAAAATGAATAACTATTTTACTATTTGATTAGTGATTAATAATATTGTACTTTTGATGTTTATTCCTAGGTAGTCAAAATAATATTAAAATTATATCCTAATTTGTTAATTATTTTTTTAGAAAAGTTACCAATGGAGGAATACGATACCTAGGTAGGTACTATTTTATATACTGTGGGAAATTGAAACAGCCTGTGTTCTAATATATTAAATATTTATATGTACCTCTATTAAGTAAAATATGTAGTATTGAATGTATAATAATAACGTAGGTATATTACTGCTCATCGAGCACTAGTATTTTATTATTAGTATAAATATTTAATACTTTAAACTATTAAATAATATGTCAGCTTATAAGGTATATAGGTACCATATTATAACCATCTCATATTTTTAAAATAAATTAGTATAAATTACTATATAAATATAAATTAATGAAGATATACTTTTTTAACAGTAGATTCTTTGTGAAAAATAAATATTAGTAGATTTTAATTTATAGGTGTTTTAACCTATACAAGTTAACAAGTTTATTTTTTAAAGAAAATATAATAAAAACAGTCTTTTAAGAATTTAATTAAAACTGTTCTAGTAAGCTGATTAAATTAAAACACGTAAACCATTAAAAAGCGTTGTTTTTTAATAAATTAATCATAAAACAAAAAATGAAAACTTATCTACCTATTTGTTACTTGAACAGTGAACACAGGTCATAGTCTACAAATAATTCGTATGGCGTGATAAATTCGATATAAATATTCTCGTTAGTACAAAAAGCCATTTACAATTTATTGTTATGCCTAGTTGTATACTTGTTTGTTGTGTTAACATATTTCATATTTTATGAATCGAATATGTCGATAAAATTAAATGGGTCAATATTATCTACAGTTACAGTAGTAGTGATTTTTAATGAATGAATACTAAATGTTTAATAGTCTGTTAAATTCTAAAATGGATGTTTGTGCTATCAGACACCATAAATATGCATTTCATTATTTACCTAAGTGTTAGGATAATATGTTGTCATTGCCGTAATAATATGTCAACCTTTTAGGACATTACACAGGGATGAAGCTATTAATATCCTATAATGTATCTCACATTATACATACCTGTAGGTCACTGTTATTAATTTAGGTTATAAGTCTGGTGGGAAGATACCATTATGGCAGCGTTGTTATGAATAATAATTAATAAATTACTGTTAAAATTATAGAAGGTAGTTATTAATTATTTCACTACAATCGAATACGCAAATACGGGGACTAGCGTATGCAGCATATATTGCATCCTTTTATCGAGGGTCACTGTCGTCATTCACGGGGCTGCCATGAATTTTCACTAGTGAAAAATAAAAAACAATCGAAACAAATGTATCGCCCACAATATTTATCAGGTATCTAATGTTACTGTCTCTACTGATGACGTTGTGTATGATTCATTATTGAATTCACATTTAATACATAGATTACAAAAGGGACTGATTCTTCAATAAAGAGGTACACTGGACATCTACTATACACCAGATCGATTACCTATTTTTCCTTATTTTTTAGATGGTTCATTTAAGGATTTGGCAGTTGCCACCTATAGGTAAGTCGAATCTACCTATATATTCTTACGCATGCGTGATACAGTGTATATTCAGTGGCCACGGATCGTCGTGTTTGTCTAAGTTATACTCAAGAGTTTACCCACCCTTTATTATTTATTTATATCTTTAAAAAAAAGAAACTGATTCAGTTTAAATTTAAAATAGCTTTATTCCACATCACTATTAATTACGCAATTATGAATAAACTGTTTTGATTTTTTAACCGTCAATCTAGTGTAAGTAGTTTATAATTATCTAATAGCGAGTTTTCGAGAGCTAAGGAGCTTTGTAAGCCAGAAAATATTATTATATACAACTATAATGACTGGGTTCAACAGTTCAAGTGTGAAATTATAAATAATAAACGTCGGTGGGAGGATAGTCGACAACTAAAAATATTCGGTATAATGAGGCAGATAAGGACATTTTTCATAAGACTCTTGGACATGTAATTCTTTTAAAAAGTTTTCCATGTGATTTCCAATGCCAGTATAAATAAATTATAATCGATAACATTTGACATTTACATTTTTTCTTAAATTACACTCGTCAGTGTCTATATGTATATATAAAGCACAAATTAATTGGTTTAAATATTAAAAAGATATGAAGCAATTTAAACCATAATGATAATAAGTAAGAAATTATTCAATAATAAAATCTAAATATATGTTCAATATAAATTATGGCGGAAAAATTACTCTGTAAATGTCACTTTGAAACGAATTTAAATTAAAATATGATATTATTGCTACTTACAGACTCTCGAAGTCTCATCATCATAGGTAGGTACTGGCGTACTGCAGAATTCTGTACATAGAAAAATATATGATGTATAATACATTATAGACTATAAATTGTACTTAGGTAAGACTAGTATTAATGTACTATTGAACAGTAAGTGGTATACATAATGTCATACAGTATAGCACAACAGTACCTAAACGCATTTTTATTTTGGGTATTTTCAAACACAAATATTAGTTATTGCATTGTGCTATAAGCAGGGCTTGCATTTGAAAAAAAAGACTCAGTTTTATGATAATTGTAAATTAAAACGTTATCCAAGTTTTGAGTTTATCGTTATACAGAATTAAAATGTTTTGCGCTTATCGTTATTTAAAGTGGTTTAATATTAAATTTAAAAATAATAACTAATACGGGACCTAGTGGCCGGAATACGGAATATAATAAAATAAATTCTTAGATTTTTTGCATGAAATAAATGTTTCTACGAATTCAATAGACCTTTTAAATAAATAGATTTTAAAATATTTCATTTTGCGTTATTTTTCGTTCAATGATATTCTATAAATAACGTTTTGCGTTATGTTTTTTTTAATGATATATAATATATTTTGTTAATCGTTATGTTTTGTTTTCCGATATTTAATAATTTTAAATCGTTTTATGTCAAATATAACGTTATAATCATAACGTTATTATAACTTTGCAAGCCCTGGCTATACCTAACCATTATTCAATTTAAACAACAGCAAGACCTACCTATTTCATAGCGAAGTCTTTACCTGAAATAAAAAACAAATATTTTAAGTTCAGTTATTCAGTCAGATTTTTATTTATTTGTATTCGTATTAGACTAACCGTTCTCTGCACGGCACAACCGCAGCCAATAACATTCCAGTGAAAATTCCTATATAAGGAATATCTGGTAAAATGTCAATACTCTTGTGCCCTTATTATTGTCCTCGAATAATGGTCCATAAATATAGTGAATAAATTTACACGTTAACTACTGGTAAAACATATCTTCCATTCAACCTCTATATGATTTCTTGTTATATTTTAGAGCATGTTCGTAATTTCTATAACGAATTCGATTATCTTTCCGTGAGAGATTTATTATTATTATTCGATTTGACATTTTTTGATGAGTAATTTACAACGGTTAACGTCAGTATTGATGTATCATCTGCATTGTGCATACACGACAGTAAGTTATAATTCCCTAGATACGAGTACGACTCATATTATCGTAGTATATATATTATAATATTATTTACAAATTTACAAAAATTTATATAATATATTATAATATTAATATATTAGTAAGCTGTTCATAAAATTTGGGTCCGAATAGTGGCTATAGTGGCTATACCCGATGATTGCAATAATTCTGCAGCTGTGTCGCCGGAGTTCAGTCGCCTTAAATTCGAGGTGAATACATTGCGAGGGTTGGTCTCTCCGAAAACCAAAATAAAACCGGTCGCAATAGTTCAAAAACATCGGAGAGTCGAACACAAAAACCTTCACCTGTTAGGCTAGTGAGCGTTTACGGGCGAAGGGTAAAAGGCGAACACTCTGTAGACGCTTCAAAGCCGATTTAGAGATCCGTCTACAGTGATATTGTTCGACCCCTCGCCCAATTATTGCTGCTCAGTGCACATCTACACCCCGTTTAAAATGTCACCGTCGTGAACCTCGGTTTTCAAGGTCACCGCCGCAATCGAATGGATACGCTCTTGTACATGGGTCCGTCTTATCTCCTTTACAAAAATAATGTTTCCAGCGATAACGACGACGACGGCGACGACGACGACGACGACGACGACGACGGACGACGAACGACGTCGCTCTTTGCGGCGCGCGCCGTTCCATCCATATGACCGCTACCAAACACCACCGTCCACCGTGTTTCCAGATTCCCGAACATTCGTCCGCCATCCGTTGCCCATTTTAGTAGTACCGCTCCTCCGACCTCCGTAGTCCATTTTAGTATTCCCGCTCCCGATCGCCGCCGAAATAACGATGTTTGAATTATATTCAGATACAGAAGAGCCACAGCAACTGCCACGAGATTTCTATGCCCAAAGACGTAATTGTGAGTATGACATACCTTCTATTATATTAGTTATTACTTATTACCTATCATAATATTATATAGGCAGCACAAAATATAGTATAATATGTATGTAGTGTTTATCACCTCCGAAGTCGGGTAAAATAATTGTATTTGGTTTTCTGTTATTGTACCTTGTAATCTATAGGTACCCGGTTGGTAAGGGGGAAGGACGGCCCGCCATAGGTGAAATGGCCCCTCTATAGCGCCGTGATACCACACACAAAAAAAAAGGTACCCGGTTGGTAATTAAAAATGTTCTTATTCTCATGATAATAATATAGGTACTACCAATACTAGCTTTATGACGATCGAGCGTACTACTAGTTTGTATAATATGTACCAGCACAATGTTTTTAGGGCAAATACGCATTATCGACCACCACGGTTGAACATATAGTATATTATATATACATATATTATATTATAGTATATTACTAATATAGCTCTATAATAGGTATTAACTATATCATTTTTATTGATTCTGAATCTCATTTATTCCAGATTAACAAAAATTCCATATTATTTTACTTAAGTCGGACATTATTCCACATAGTCGGTGATATCGACTCTTGCGTACTTATAGCTCTATAATATTAAACCATTGGTTCCAATTGGTGAATTCTCCGTGGGGGATCCAGTCCTATTGTATAGTATAATAGCTCTGTAGTAGAAAGTTAGGAATAATGTATATGCTATTATAGCTATATATAATAGCTTAGTATAAATATATTATAAATAGTCGCTCTTATTGTATCAATTCAGATGGCTTGTTAAGATTTTACGAGCTAAGTCCCTCAACCATAAGTCCCGCCATATTTTGCGCGTTACACCTATTTACCTACTGGTATTCTTCTGGTATACAGTAACTCTGGTATGGACTCGTGTTGGTTTTTTCATTGCAAATATATTGAAATTATTTTATTTATAATTAATTTTCAAACGATTGAGTTCGCCAATTTCGTTATTTAAATCAATGTTTGAATCGCATTTCTTTATGAGTACTTTTGTGTATGACAGAAATTTGGGTAACACAAATATTTAGGCATTTGTTATTATGCGATGGAGTAAATACACTTCATTTTTACAATATGTTACAAACTTGTGTCAATTTATAGGTAATAACGGATCATTATTTGAACAGTAAAAACTCATTATCTAATATAATTAGGTATTAAGGACTTCGAAAATAATTTTTTTCACTAAATTACGAAATTTTTTATCTTTATAATTTTTCTTTTTAAACAACTACATGCATTTTTTATTTCATGTTCCGAAGAAGAATTTTGTTAGGTACCTACATAAAAATTGATTTTGAACCTGGAGTAGTGGAGTAGTTAATTAGTATTTACTATTTATGATTAATATTAGTTTATTTCCTATTGAAGGATATTTTCATCGTAGGTACCAGTGTATCACAGTTCCTATTATTGTTTTTATAATTGTAATAGATTGAGACAAAAAAATTAAAAAATGATCGGAATACCTGCAAGCTTTAAGTGATACTAACGGGTGATTTCTTAATCACGTAACTTCAATTAAATCTTTATTCTCCCATTATCACATAATAAACAAATTGTGCATACATCTATAGATTGTATAATATATTAAAATAAACAATAAAAAGATTAGTGCGTATAGTTGTTAAATATTTTGCGTTCTTGTGCCGTTCCATTATACCCCCCTCATCTAAATTGTAAATAGATACCTACTCTTAGGTATAAACCGTATAAAAAGTTAACAGGTTAAAATTGATTACGAAATATTCTATGCCTTATTCTATTCCATCTTTATCATATTATAATAATGAGAATTTTCGATATTATATTTTATTATTTTAGAAAGACCTAAATGATCATTGTGAAGTATAATTTAGTATTCTAGCTGTTCATTTATTACTTATTAGTAATTAGATATAGTTGTTAGTAATAATTACTAATAACTATATCTATAACTATATTTAATTATTAAACGAACTATAAATTCTTACAACACAAAACAGCTATAGCATATCTTGTATAGTATACATTTGTCTGATTATATTGTGTCTATTTGATTACAAAATATCAATTTTCCGTACCTAAATATTACAATACAAATTCACTGTTGGTCTTTATTCAAAAATAATTGTATAGTAATTGAATACATTTACACCTTTATGTCTTCCAATAATATTTATTGAATTTATATGATTATCAAATCATATAAACGAACCTTCGAGTTTAAAGTTTATGTATATTTAAATATATATATATAATTTAGTATCTACGCTTGATACAACAATAATGTAAATTTGATAACAAAAATGAAAAGAAAAAAGTTATAGCTACAGGTGGATATAGGTGGCCGTAACCAAAAATGAGACACCGTTTCATTCTTTCACTGTTATAATAACTTCAAATTAAAATATAATTTACAAATCATCGTTAATTTTATAAATACCTATACAGAGAGTCCCTTGAGGATATACCCATTAGCCATAGAGGGGGACTCGATACCCGACAAAAACCGGTTTTTTCCGGTTAAAAAATTAAATTATGTGTAGCCCTTGTCTCTGTGAGTTTAATAAAAAAAAAAAAAACAGATTTATGGTATATTTATTATCTCGGGAGATATCGCAATGGGTAAATTCTCGCAGGACATCTTGTATATTATTAATATAACTAATATAAGGAATTTATAATTATAATATAATAAGAATACAAATCAAATAATTTCATAGGTACATAGTTATTAATTTTCAATAAAAATTTAAAAGTACAATGCCGTTTGTTTTCTGTCTTTCTACTTCTAAAAGTATTTAGTACGAACACCAAATTAATATGATTCATTATAATTTGTATTGTAACATTGTGGAATATAATAATACATTGTTACAAATTATAATGTAACTTTCGTGTCTTTAAAAAAAATGTACATATATAATATATATATATATATATTACACTTTTATACTAACATTAATACCATAATATTATATATTTACAGATTCAAAAGATAACAATGCAAAAAATATGGACAACAATAAATATGATGGATTTCGGTAAGTTGAAAATGATTTTATTTTTTGATTAAACATACCAAGTAAATTATTTATAACACGGGGCATGATTTTCAGAGTATTTTTTTAAATTTATTTTTTGATATATAATTAGTTAATATAAATTGAAAGAAAAATAACAGTTTTCGAGCGGTTATCAAGGATGCTGTACCTATTGCTGTTGTGGCTAATTATGGGGTACATTTAAAATTGGGCTATAACATAATATAGGTATTAATGTATTTATTTTTGTACGTATACGAATTTAAGTTCTTATGTGCCTCCCCTTGAGTCAACGTTATGTTATAACATTATATCATTATCTTTATGTAAAAAGGTCACATTTTTATCAGAAATCATGAAATGCACAAATCAACAAATTTATAAATGCATCCGGCATCGGGATTAAATTAATAAGACCCTGGTAACCCAATGATTACGCATCTGTGTATGGTGCTTACTGCGTAGTAACTATTGAGGTTTGACCCACACCGTGTGTTATTTTTGATTCTGAGTGACAAAGAAGTTGGTTTTACAATGATGTGTTTTTCTATCTGTTATACTTTACACATTTTTCTTCAATATTCAACATTGACAGGTAGTGGTTTCTTGACATATTTTTATCTTTTTGGTACTTTGGCAGGAAAGATGATTAAGAGTTAGGAAAATCCCATTACTTTTCTTAGTAATTGGAAAAAGCGAAAAAAAACAGTAATATTTATGCAATTAATTATTTAGTTTTCTTGTCATAAATCAAGAAAAGGAATAATGGTGGAGACCTGAAGTATATTTTGAATTTTTTGGGCTAGGTATTTAATATTTATAGACATTTGAATTTTTTTTTTATGTTGATACTAATTTTGTTTCTTGGTTTAAAAGTTTAAAAATTTAACACAATATTCTTCATAAGTTATTCCCATATAGTATATACACAAGTATAAGAAGTATTTGTTTTCATAAATTTAAAACTTGACTGTTCAAAATAAAATTTTAAATAAAAATATATATTGTTTCATGAATGATTTAAAGACTCATGCTTGATTTAAAATGTATACGTATACACACATACCTACTCCATAGACTAAAGGCTGCATGATATCATGAATGCAATGCTTCACGATGTTATTGGCCTAATGCATCTAATCACAGATTAGCATTTCCGGCAAATGGAAATGTGTTCGTTTAGTGATCTCAAACACGCGGCCCGCGAACCCGTGGCTCGGTGTGGCCCGCAATATTTCAACAATTTTCAATATTTCTTATTGTTATTGAACGATGACCATTTTAGTTTTTATTTAAACAACTATAATTATCAATATAATATTATTTGACATTCGTAATGTTTTATTTATTAGCTCGTTAGTAACCAATCTTTAATTACCGATAAGATAATTTTTATCATTGGTAGTAATCGCAATGCCCTCAACATTATCACATTAGGTGATTTGTAACCATCGGTGTTTAAATGTCAGTACAGTGTTAAGTAAAAAAAAAAGTTCTATGACAATTTTTTGAGCACGTATAAATATATATAATATAGCCTGCTGGTAATTTGAGTTTGAGACCACTCTGACGAGACAGTGATTGGTATAAATATTAAATGTCGTGGTATTGTGAATTAACTATTTTTAATCACTTTCTAGAGGTAATTAGACCCTGTTGGCCTAAAACTAATGGTTGGCAAAACACAATTTTTTTTAATAAATATAATTGCAGATACCAAACAAAATAAAAACATAGCACCATACTTCACAGCATATTCGTTATACATACCAATTTCCAAGAACCTTCTAATCCCAAATGTAATTAAATTGTTAATAAAAATTACATTTTTGTTGTGTTTTATAGTTTTACATATGTCATGTAAGTATGTGAACAAATTAGAAGAGTAAAAAAAAAATGTTATTATTAATTATTATTGTATATTTAATTAATTATTTGGTTATTTTAGTATATCCGAACAGAGAAGTTATTGGAAAAAATTAAGTATTGATATTGAAACTACAATAACAAAGTTAAATCATGGAAACATAAGATCAACCAGTAGGAAATTGCTTAAATTAAATATCATGCGTGGTAGAGGCTTGCTGTGTCGGTCTATCATGGAATCACAATCCCATTCACCCAACTTCACCCATATTTATGCAACGTTGGTTTCATTCATCGACCAAAATGTAAACAGTTTTTAATTATTTATTAAAAAAAAATTTTGCCCACTAATACTTATGAGTGTTCTTATACACATTTAGTTTCCGAACGTAACTGAACTTCTTCTGGTGAGGTGTATTTATGTGTTTACCGATGCGTACAAATGCAAACGAGAGAATAAGTATGTGCCACCGGTATTATTGATTGCACATTTAGTGCAAAACAATGTTGTAAGTTATGTTCATTGAATCGTATACTATTGGATTTGATTAATATATACATTTTCTAATGATGTATGTCCATTGTTCATCTAGGCCAGAGACTGTAGGTTGATATTAGAAATAATACAACTATTAATAAAAACGCCAAATTTACATTCGATTGGCTTGGTAGACAATATTTTGAAAGTATGTGGTGAAAAATTGAATTCAAATCCACAGAATGATTTACACTTAAAATGCACGTTTGATAAGTTGCAAAATATTTCACAAGATGACCATATTGATGAATCGGTAAATTAAAACATTTTATACCTACTTACTATTTAAACGAAAGATCAGATTTAACCTAATTCAAATATCCATCAATTTTATAACACAAAATTTTTGATAATTTGCACATTGTCATTTTTTTACCTATAGTTTTCAGGTTAAATTTAAAAATATTGATTGCTTATAGACTAAGTTACTAAATTATAATTAACAAATCATTTTTTATAACATCAGAGAGGTACCTACCTAGTAATTTTATAAAACATGACTTGGTTAAAATACTTAAATATTTGCTAAAATTATATTTTTTTAATCATATAGTCGTATTTATTATATACATTATACAATATACCTACTGTATTTTTAGTATTTTAAATTACCAGACAGTTTCATAATAACTATCAAATTATTGTTTAGAATACCAATTATTTTCCCGTTACATAGACTTTTCCAATAAATTAAATTATTTTAAAGTTATTACACTAACTTAGTAAGTAGGTGCCTACCCTAGATGTCTAGATACTATAAATTAAGATAATTTCGAATTATTGGTAGGTTTACTTTATCTGTAATCTTAATACAGATTAAGATCTGTAAACATAGATTTTCAACATTCTATTAGTTATCGATATTCAACCACTTAAAATTATTTGATTATTTGACATGTAGGAATTTGTTAAACAACTAGTTAAGTACATAAGTTTATTTCAAATAATATACTCGTATTTTAGGTTCAATGTTTGGCAAGAACTATATTGTTAACATATAAAAATCTAAACGAGGACGAACAGCAGTTATCTGTAGATCATCATAAACAATACTCTCATTTTGGGATTTTAGATAAAAACTATGATCCTCAGTTTGAATTAAGTAATTATTTACCATTAACATTAAAATAATATTGTTTTCATTTAAATATTTTTTTTCTTTAGATAATTTTGTGTATGATCTGGACTTCAGGTCTAATGAGATTATATACAAAATCAGGTCTAAAGAAATACTGAAGTCAATACGTAAAACCTACTATTTTTCAAATTACAATATCGATGAATTTGCTGATGACGAAGATGAATGTGGTAAGAATTTAACCTATTTAAAAGAAATAGTCTTTAGCCCATACATATATTAAAAAAAATATTTTTGTTTGTTTAAATTTAAGATATTCATTTAAATCATATTATACACATAGAGGGCCTATTTTAAGCTCATTTATTAACCCTTGTGAACTTAGCGGTGCAAGAACTGCAGTAAATTTATAAAACAGTCTAACACATTTTTTAGAGAGTTGTTTGTGATTGTTAACAACATTTTGAGTTTGTTTTACTTTATTTTCGATGCTAGAACATTTTGACTTTTGCGCTGCACTCCGCAGCAGCACAAAAGTTGGATGAATTAATAAATGTATAAAAAAATGAATATTTTATTTATCGTGTGAAGGTTAGTATAAAATAATTGTTTAAGTTTCAGATTGATTGCAGTTATAGCGTATATATCGTACCAACTTAGTGCAATGGGTCATTATGTATGTTACACCTTATGGAATGGTGGATTTTGAGAAGTCCATGATGACCTCCAACGTAAAATTAAACGAATGCATAATATTTAAAACATTTTAATAATACCAAATTTTATATTTTATATATCAATGTGTTTATGTAAATATTAATTTTTAAAGATCAAGATAACTTTTAAATAACATGTACAAAAACTCTAAATATTTACCCTTAATAAAAAAATTGTTTTACTAATAATAAATTTATTTATTATTATTTTCAGTATGAATAAAAATTTATTAACCTCATAAATTTTTTTTTAAATATTTTAAACTTAACCTTTATACTTTTATACTTTTGTGCTGCCACAGTGAAGAAAAAAGCGAAAAAGGTGATAGTGTTCTAGCGTCGAAAATAAAGTCTATATTTACAACTTTATAAGTTGTCGAACAATTTTTAACAAACCGAGATGCGAGGTTAGAGTGAAATAAAAAAGTATTAACAAGCTTTTGTGCTGCAGCCGTGAAGATAGCAGTGCAAAAATCTGAAGTGTTGTAGCATCGAAAATAAAGTCCAAAAATCCTAATTACTATTTACAAAATATAAAAAAAATATTTTTCTTTCATCATTAACTTCAATCAATATTTTTTTATTATTAGTATTTCTAATTGAATAGAACAATAACCAAGTGTTGTTGACAGTCACCTGTTATAGTGATACACCGATAACTTTTATTCCTTATAGCCTCTATATACTATCTATTCCCTACTACATACATTATCCATAATATATAATTAAATATTATAAATATTTCTAAATGTTTAATAATTATTTGTTAACACAGAGACACAGACAGACGTGTTAAAATTATGCAGCCGTTTAGCAACAAAAAAAATTATTTGCATGATGGTAAATTCGAATTCACATCCATATGAGATCGCCCTTGAATTAATGGCAATTAAAATGAAACCGGGTCAGGAAATAGTACTGTGCTTAGAATATTTGGAATACTGTTTTGAAAAAAAAGCTGTATTCAATAAACATTTTGCAGACATAATACAAGTAAGAATTTAATTATAAAATATAATAATTTTACTATAATTTACACCAGTGGCGTCATTTGGGGGGAGCAACTGGGGTATTTGCCCCAGTCTAGTATTTACATCAACCTTAACACATTTACCACCACCCCCTTAACCACTATGTCACTATGCAACGAGAATCTGAGTGAAAAAAATGTTGAGTTGGAAAAGCAGTGATAAGTTGCCCTAATCTAATAAAAACTGAAATGAAGCCACTGCTTTACACTAATATTTGTTGTCTTGTATCCAGTGGCGTATTTAGGTTTTTGGCATGGGGGGAGGGGTATGATTGTTTATAGTAGCCAGGCCTTTAAAGTTAAAGGCCTTAAGTTAGGACTCCAAAAACTTTTGCATATTATAATATACAGCCTATGGGGGGGGGATTGATCCCCTTGATCCCCTCTCCCCCATAAATACACCACTGCTTGTATCTATTACTATATACTCACAGACCACAGTATAACTTTACTATATCAGTGATTCAATCAACTATTTAAAACAAAATAATTTGAAAAATATTTTTTATATTAAATTTATTTTTAGATAGCCCTATGTATCTATTATCTACATTCCAAATTTAAATATAAACCGATAGTTTACCGTTATAAACATCACACATAGAGGACATGCTCATTATTGTTTTAATATAAGAGGTTATAAATATTGAGGCTTAGTCGCAATGTTTAGTACGCAGCTTTGAGAATGGTTTAGCTACATTGTGTGTCTAATGAATAAAAATAACAAATATCAATGTATAGGTATAGTACTTTGAAATATCATCGACATGTTTTTTCTTAGTCTTATTTTTTTTTCAGATTTGTTGTACATTGAACCCTTACATGGTTGCATCACTGGAATTAATTTTCAGGCTTATTGTGAACGTCGTTGAGCAGAGCCAAATGAACAGCCTAAAAAACTTAGCAAAATTGTTTGCGCAACTTTTATCTTCAAATTCAATTTCTTGGAAAATATTTTCAGCAGCACGATTGTCTAAAATTATATATTCTTATCATTATCAAGAATATTTTACGGAACTGTTCAAACGGTTGATTCTTCTTATGGGACGCAATGCTGTAAAAAAACGTATTTTGGACCCGTGAGTATTTAATTTTTACATACCTAAATATTTGGGTTCCATACTTCCATATATTATGTATATATTCAATTTATGTTTTAGTTCCCTGCAACAATCGTTCACTGGCTTATTGCCGTTAAAAGAAGGATTATATAGTAATTTTTTTTTTTGCTATATTTTTTTGGCGTCGATCAATTTGTATGACGTAATGTGAGTGTTGATCATTCAAATCGTTTTAATAGTTTATTAATGAACCCTTTTATTTTAGTGTTCCATTCCAAGAATCGTTAAGACGAGACATATCCGTTTAACTATTCTTTACGACTGAAGACTTTTTCCTATTGATTGCAGTTACATCAATCCTAACAATTACACGTTAAATACATAATTAAATACTATATTCTAATTTAAAAATGTCAAATTAATTATTATTACATGTTTTCTATATTATTTTTACGATTCATTTAATTTATATTATAATTTATCAATAGTAACTTAAAGTTATTTTTTATAAATGCTGTATTGACTATTTTAATTAATTTTAAGTAAATTGTGAACAGGGAATTGTGAACAGGGATGCTCATTTGTTATTTTTATAATTATTATCGAAATAATTGTTGTTTAAACGAGAGCTATAGCACTGAATACAATACATATCCATTATTGCTTATAACATATAAAGATTTTAAAAATGGATGAATATAATTATCTAATATTATGTTAAATTTAACGTCCTATTAATTAATATTACATATTTTAAACATTGTACAATTACTGTCTTATTATTATTTTTTTTAACAATAAACAGTTTTACCATAAGAAAACTACGAACTGGTTCAAATTGTGATCTCCACTATGAATGTGTATTATCGAGCTGTATTTACTCCAATATTTTTAAGTTGGCCAATGTTAAGAAAGTGCTTCACCACTACAAATTTAGGAGTAAGAATATTATCTAGAGAATCTCATAGGGTTTTTTTATATTAGGGTTCCGTAGCCAAATGGCAAAGAACGGAACCCTTATGGATTCATCGTGTCTGTAATAAGAACTATACTGTTGAAACTTGGTAGATAGATGTATTCTATGAACCACATTAAGATTTTCACACAAAAAAGAAAAAAAGAATACATTTTGGGGGTTTCCCATACTTAGAACTGAAACACAAACATATTTTTTCATCAAACCCATACGTGTGAGGTATCTATGAATAGGTCTTCAAAAATGATATTGAGGTTTCTAATATAATTTTTTTCTAAACTGAATAGTTTGCGCAAGAGACACTTCCAAAGTGGTAAAATGTGTGCTCCCCTATAACTTCTAAATTGTTGTCAAGTGAATGATAAAACTAAAAAAAATAAATGATGTACATTACCATGCAAACTTCCACAGAAAATTGTTTTGAACGAGATCTAGTAAGTAGTTTTTTTTTAATAAGTCATAGACCGTAAACCTCAATTTACCTTTCATTCAATCAACTCAAATATATATAAAAAAAAAAAAAATTAATTTCATAAACATAAACCTTGAACTTTTATTTTCTAATAATAAATCGGTAATAGGTGTTTAAGTTAATAATAATTATAATTCGCTTGGGGAGTGGCTTGATCGGTAGAGGGTGCGGAGTGCGCGTGGTCCAGGTTCCCAACTGCGCTTACCCGAGCGGGTAATATTATTATAATATTAGATAAGACTTCTGCTGGACCTGGTGGTGGGGACAAAGTTCGTGCCGGCCAAAGTTACTTATTATTTATGTTACTTGCTGCTACGGAACACTTCATGGGTGAGTCCGACACGCACTTGGCCACTTTTTTTAATTTTAAAGCAAGTTATAATAGGATTTGTAAACTGTAAATTGTTTGTGTATTTTAAAATACTAATAACTTGCTTTAAAATTAAAATCTAAAAAAAACACTATGAGTTTCATTAGATAGTATAAACTTACCTTTAAATTGTATAAGAGGTCAATTCACTCGAATTTTTAAACTAACAGAGCTAAACGTGATCTGCTGATCGATTTGGTATGTTATACGTTTGTAAGATGATTGACGAACGTTTTTTGCTTTTCGAACATCAATACACCATTACACCGAATATTAAATAACGAATTTAACTAAGTTTGAATCATATAGAGTTGGGATTTTTAGCGGACGTGCACGGAATCAGCTAGTATACAATATATTATTTGATATACTTATTGATATCGCCTATTTCATTTGATGAATTTTTTTAAAATACTTAGTTATTTCACGTTTCAATTTTTTTTTCATAAGTAAATAAAATAACTAACTAAGTGCGAATCGTTTTAATATTATTCTCAGTTTTGTTGTGGTTTATGAAGCTGTTGAATGTTGAACCATTGTTTGTGACTTTGGTTGAAATATTCTAATCATTTTTTACAGCCATGGAAAAACTGGCAAAATAATAATAAATGGTGCGTTATCTACTGCTAAAAAATTAGTCTTAGAAAAAAATGTAAAAATTTACTTAATAATTATTTCTATACAGTTTTCTTAAATAACGAAATGATTTAACGATTTGACGTATTCAGCATACACGTATAACAAATAATGAGTGTTGTAAGTTGTAAAATATTGTGAGTGATTTCGAAATTGTTCGTATAAAGTAGCCGGCGGCACTTGTTGAAGGCCCCCCTTTCATACCGGTTAATAGGGCCTGCATTACAACTTTATCTAGTGAGTCCAAAACCATACATAAGTCTGGTATCGAGTACTTATGATAGAATTTTTATCTCACACTAGACGTAACTGTTTATTTTTATCAGAATGTGTTTTACTCGAATCTCCACAATTTGAACTCTTAAGCGAGTTTCCACTTTTCCGTGATTTCAGCTTTGAAATTTTGCAAGCTATCGCTAGGTGATAAATATTATATAATATCGACCAAAATTAAATCTATTATAAGAATGAATCTCTGCTTGGTATTAAGGGTGAATTATGAACTAATATATAATTGTCGCGTTTCTCACTGCTACAATAAAGCTCTTCTCACGACGATACACTGCAAAGTTACGCCAATGCGCAGTCGCTGATCGATTGGATTACTCTCGGTATAGCACGACAGTGAAAACTCCGAGAAGTCAAACACAGCTGCCATTTCCATCGTTATTTGTTGTCGTTACCAAACCAACAACCACGTTCAAAAGAGTAACCACAAGTCCATAAAGGTTAGTTTTACAGATTATATAATATAATAATATTACACTATGATAATACACTATAATAAAATAAACTTATGCCGGTTGCGTGATTCAATCATCTGTGTACAAGCACAATATTCCGGCTCACACACTAGCTAATAAACTGTAATTAATAATACTATTATAATAATAATGAAAATTGTTTCATGCATGTCTTAAAAACTTTACACTTTTTCACTTGTTGATTTGTGTTCGTAACGGTGTCACATCACGATTTTATCTTATATGATTTACCGCAAAAGAATGGATCGCAATAAAAGCTTACCGAAATAATACTTATAGCACTAACCCATAGTAACTATTTTAATATCATTATAAAATGTATAATAAACGAAAAATAAATAATAACAATAATATTGTTATTTATTTAAGATTTATTTAAAATATACAAACATATATATATATAAAAAGAATATATCTACTACTTTTCATGGAGTCGGGGGTTTTTCAAATTCAATATTCAAATTCAATAGTTAGACTTAAAATTATTTTTATTTTAGTTAGTAAGTAATAAGTATAAAAGTATTCATCACTATTCATCATGTAGTTACATTACTATAAAACAGGGTTTAGATCAGTTATACTATGGCACTATGGTAAGTCGTAAGTAAGTCATTTATAAATATAAAAGATAGTGACTAATAAAATTAAGATGACATAATCGGCGATGTAAGATTGCGATAACATGATTGCGATTGATTTTTGTGAGGTGAATTATTTTCGACCAATAATTGACAATATTATACTAATCACTCTTAATATAGGTATCTAAATCTATCAGTGGTGTATATAGAATTTAATATCAGGGGGGGGGGTAGAAATCCTGAGTCGGAATTCCTGACTATAAATTAATACAACTAATTCTAAACACACAAATTTGTATTTGTTTTTGGGGGAGGGGGGTTGAACCTATAACCCCTATAATACTACAACCTATAATATTTTAAGATGAATCTATATTATTATTATATTATTGGCGAGTGTTTAATAATGGAAGTTAAAGATAATAGATTAAAGAAATTTGAATTTTTAAAGAAATATATAAAACAAGTTTTTACCAGTGCCAAATTATTAATTAAAAAAAATTACAAAAATTAAATTAATAATTGCAGACCAAAAAGTTTTAACCAAAAGTTTAAAATCCTACAATTCATAATTTATAATGTTATTTTTATGTTTTATATTTTTAAACAGTGTGTACAAAATAAACATAGGCTACGTATAAGTCCTATAAAAAAAAACTTGGGCCGCAATTAGTTTGTACCCTAACTAATAGGTACTAGGCCGCTATTCGGAAGCAATTAGTCGATCTGATGCATGTTTTAATTTTCCTCATACATTGTACATATCCACAATATAAATATATTATAAACATATATAATTATTAATTATTTTTTACTTTGAATCCATGGGCAGTTTTTTCTGGATTTGGATGTGAAGGGAAAACATGTAAAAACGAATTGGATGTAAAAAAAAACGTATTACAATACGGGTATGCCGGTAAACAACGCACTCGTATAATATTAATATTTATTATTTATTACCGACGAAAGTGAGTCTGGACGGAGCGTCAACTCGGAAACCCTCCCGCCCATCCCCCACCAAATATATTGTAGCGGCCAACCAGCTGGCTGGGCAACGACCTAGGCGAGGCGGCGGTGAGACACGTGTATAAACCTTCCTCCTGATCCCAGTCCGCCGATCAATACTTTGCACAGGCCCAGTGGACCCTTGATGCCCGTGTCAAACCTCCGCCAGTCATCACCCTCCGATCCCACCCGTGGCGGACCTGTAGAATTAATGCGGGCGTTGTCCCGAAATCCTCCTCGAAGTTCGCTACCCGTACACACCGTCGGATGAATTTGGCGCTGTCGGCCGACCCGGACCCCCGGATGTGATATTAGGATAATATCGACGTTCACTTCGCCGTAAGAGGTTGCTACGTAAGCAGCTCTAATAGCGCAATATAATTAACTTTTTAGTACAATAGAACCAGCACGAGTTCCCTGTGTGTACCTACGTGAACCTGTTTATGTTGTGGTAAGTTCATTATTTTCAATTTATCGTATCGTTTAGGTACCTACTGTATTAAA